TCAATCCACCCCGCCTTCCACAGAGGCAACCACTGGGTCCAACTTCTATCACCATAGATTAATTTCACTTGTTTTGAACTTTATATAAATGGAATAACACTACATGTACTCTTTTGTGGCTTACTTCTTTCATCCAACATAATTTTCTGAGATTCATCCATGTTTTTTGTTTATCAATAATTTACAACTTTTTGCTGAATAGTATTCCATCTTTTGGATATACAGTTTGCTTAGCCGTTCTTCTTTTGATGGGCACATAGTATTCTTTACAGGCTGCTCTTCTATATACTATGGTTAGTGGTTTCTGCTTGCTTCCCCAAATGAGATTATGATTTAACTCATTTCTGGCACTGACTGCCCTGAGTTAGAACAGACCCTGCAGGTTAAGAGCTAAATCCCACAAGACTGCCCCCACTTCAGATGCCAGTGGCAAGTCCCAGGCTGTCACCTGTATTTCTGACCAACCGGCTATAAATTGTGGGTTCTGATGACTCCCTCCTCATGTCTGATAATTTGCTAGAACAGCTTACAAAACTCAGGGAAACATTTACTTATATTTACTGCTTTATTATAAAGGATATTATAAAGAATACAGATGAACAGTGAGATAAAGAGATATATATGTCAAGGTATGGGAAAGGGGTACAGAGCTCTCATCCCCTCTTTTGGGTGCACCACCCTCCCAGTACCTCCATGTATTGGAAGCTCTCTGAACCCCATTGTTTAGGGTTTCTCTGGAGGTCCTGTTATGTAGGCATGATTGATTAAATCATTGGCTATTGGCGATTGAATTCAATTCCCAGTCTTCTCCTGGAGGTCAGGGGGTAGGGCTGAAAGTTCCAGCCCTCTAATCACATGGCTGGTTCCTCTGGCAACCATCCCCCTATCCTCCAAGCATCACCTCTTTAGCATCAACTTAGGTACACCTTAAAGGGGCTTATTATGAATAATATTTGGGAGCTCTGTGCCAGGAACTGGGGACAAATACCACATACATATATCTTACTACATCACAGTATCACAGGAGATTAATTCTGATTTCACCCAGGGAAAGTGAGAAGCTCCCAACCATGCTTGTTCTCCATGGGAAGATTGTACTTCATTTAGGAAAACTTTTCAAATGGTTATTTGTTGGGTGGTTGGGAAGGAAAGAAGCTAAGATGCATGAGATCTGTTGCTGGATGTCTAGGTAGCTTGGGGAACTAGTTTCAGCAGATGAACTCACTGGTTATGTTTGTTACCTGCCTCACCACAAGAGTCTTTGATTCTTGCAGAGAAGCCAGTAGACTCTGTCATCACTGACACAGAGTTCCTATAGAGGTCTAAATCTGTCCTTGAACCCATAGCCCTGTGTTTGTTGTCTTCATTGCACGTAATTAAAAGTTAATATTTGAAACTAGTGAACTCAAGCAGAAATAATGACTTTCACTTACAGTATCGAGAGGTCATAGCTGACCGTGTGAATAGACATCACACTCCTTCCTGGGCTCCCACCCACAGGGTGGGTCCCAGGGAAGGTGCCAGTTCTAGCCAGGCTTCTTCCAGATGGATCAGGAGATAAGCTCTCAATGGAAATGCCAGGACGGGGCAGGATGTCATTTGGCTGGGTGTAGGGGGTTTTCTTTTTCTTCCTTTTTTTACAGTTTTATGGAGGGATAATTGGTGCAAGATAAATGACACATATTTAAAGTGTAAAATTTGAACTGTCTTGACCTGTGGGGGGAACCATCACCACAATCAGGATAATGAACATATCCATCACCTCACCAATTTCTCATGCCCCCTTGGTAATCCCTTCATCCCCCACCTTCCCCCACCACCTCATCCCTAGGCGACCACCAATCTGCTTTCTATCACTGTAATGTATTTTGCACTTTTTAGAATTTTATACAAATGGAATTATAGAGTGTGTGCATGTGTGTATTTATTCCTTCTCTCCAGTTCAGCCTTAGGAATAGAGAAAGTTCAATGAATGTATCCTTGGGACATATTTGGTTTGTTGAGGGTGAGGTGAGGGTAACATCCCAGGAGCTGAGCTGACTCCTTTGTCTACTTGGAGTTGGTAATCTTTGGTCAGACTTTTCCTGAACAGAGGCCAGGATTTAATATTACTAAGCAGGTTGGAGGCAGGAGGTTGTTGTTGACTTTCCAGAAATCATTGGCACAAATGCCTTTAGTGTCTTTAGCCTTTGAGGCTTCGTGAGGTTGCGGCATGATTGAGATAAGCATGGAAAATTCTGTTCCCAGATGTTTCCATGTCACTGGAGCTGCGAAGGGCAGACCCCATCCTGTCACTGAGGATCAGAGAGCTGCAGGAGCTGTGGGACCTTCACTTAGCCCAGGGCCAGAGCCCTTGTTTGGTTTCCCACTTATAAAGGCTCTGTTTCCTCTTTCCCTGGGTTGTGGGATAATTGAGTGAAGGTGTAGTCTAGAATATACAAGTGGGAGGCTTACTGAATCCCTGATTGACCTGTAGTCATAACGATATGCTGGCCTGGTCTAATAGTTGTTTTTTTTTTTTTTATGGTGAATAATTCTATATCACAAAGCACTTTGGCCCTTATCCCTGCCCAGTCATTCTAAAATGACAGGGCACAGGTAGAGCAAGGGGCCCCTCCTCTCTAGCATTGTCTGGGCCTCACACCTTCTCCCCACCCTGTCATAGTTGAGTCTGAGCCAGAGGACCATAGAGGGTCATGCACCCCTGCCGGGCTGTGCATGGTGTGGACGCAGATGGCAACTCCATTTCCCAGCAGGCAGCTGCAGAAGTCTCCTTTCCTCTTGCCTCATGACTTTCCCCACCCTTGACGGAAGGCAACTTGCAACTCCTTCCAAATTGAGGGACTGAGCTCAGCTGACATTTCAAGAGACTCAGGTTTCAGGCATTTGCTCCCTTCAGGCTGGCCAGCTCCAGAAGGGTGGAGACAAAGCAGGAATGTTCAGACCCTGAGGAGATCAGGAGGGGGCTGTTAGGGGGACAGTTAGCACCTGGCACTTGGCCAGGGTCCTGCAGCGAGGTCCCCCAACAAGTTAACCAGGCACCCTCATGCCTGTTGCTCAAGCTCCTGCAAAGGCACCAGAATGCTCTAGGTCAAGTCACTGCTGAGCACCTGTAGCCCAGGGCCTGGCCAAGGGACATAGCCAGGGCAGGGAGGGCTGGAGAACCCCCATGGAGCTACAAAAAGAGGTATAAGGAGAAGGGGAGCTGTGCCTAAGGTCTGCTGGTCTGTTCACCTTGGCCTGATTTTCTGTCTGCCCTCTTTTCTTCCATCCTCCATATTCAGCTGCCTGAATTCCCCCATCCTCTATCTCTCATCTCCCATCCCTCAGCCCCCAAAGCTTTCTTCTCAGGTGCATTTTGCATGAAAGCTCTCTAGGTTTAACCCTCCCAAAGGGTATGTCAAAGGAGAAGGTTAGCGGTCCATATCTGCACAGTGGCTGTGCTGGCCGCTGGCCACGTGTGGCTATGAGCACTTAGGATGTGTCTGATGAAAGTGAGAAAAAGCTTGATTTATTTTACTTCAATCAATTTCAATTTAAAAGCTGATAATTGGTTCAGGTTTTGGAAAACTTTTAAGCCTGTTTGGAGCAACTCGGGCATGTGAATCTGCTTTTTCCACTGTAATTTTGTGAAACCTAAACACAGATCAAATATTTTCAATGAAAATTTAGCATCTGAATTGAGCTGTGCTGTTAATTTAAAATACACACTAGGTTTCAGAGAGTTACTGCAGAGAAAAGAATGAAACTATCTCCTATCAAAATATTGATTACATGTTGAAGTTATAGTATTTTGGATCTACTGGGCTTTATAATATATTACTGAAATTGATGTCGCTATTTTTTTTTTCCTTTTTGGGGTGTGTGGCTACCATAACTTTAAATTTTCACCTGTCTCGCGTTGTATCGTCTTATATTCTATCCGCCTATGTGCTCTAGATTGTCCATATCGCTGGATTTACATTAGGAGGTAATGGCCAGCCTGAGGGAAGACTTGAGTTTCCCCTGCCAATCCATGGCTCTTGCCACCACATGCCCCTGATCATCAACCCCAAAGAATCTTGAGTCAGGGAATGGGGAGCAAGGGTATGGAAGGCAGGGGGTGGGGGAGGGGAGATGATTTCTGTTGCTTACTCCAACCTCGCCCCCTGCCACCCCAGCCCCAGGGGGGTGGGAGCAGGTGCAAAGGAATGAGAGTTGCGCAGGCACTGTGGGTGCCTTGCTCCACCTGTCCTTACCTCTGAAGGATGCTAAAGGGGGCGAACTGAAAAATACCTGTGTTCTGACTGAAGACACCATCAGAACCTGGACGGTTTATAATGTTGCTATTCTAAAAGCCGGGCCCACTGCTTTAAACCTACTAGAGCAAAATTACTCTTGGACGGTTCATCTGTTTCCATCCTTGGGCAACTGCAATGAAAATTGGAAGCTTTTCTAAATAAACAAACCATGGTGGTGCCTGTTTGTAACCTCTACAGGATTGCCTCTTCCACCAAACCAGAATGTGAAATCTGGATTTAGATAAAAAATTGTATGGAAGATGATAGCATGTTTTGGAAAAAAAAAAAAAATCCAAAATAGGTAATAGGCAACCAAGAGAGGCTTCCAACCTACTAAGTGCAATACCCAGTGAAGTAGAGAGACATAAGGCCCAGTCTTTATATTCATGTCCTCTTAGTTAGGAATGCCTCCCTCTCTCCATCCTTCTGTTCAAATTTGACTTCTTCTTTGAGGCCCAGCTCAGATACCCGCTTCTCTCTGAGCCTCTCCCTGATTATTCCAGACTTCCCAGCTCTGTTCGCTAAGCAGCTATGTGATTCCAGGGCTGCACACACTATGGGCCTCCATCCTCACTAAAATGATTAAGTGCATCAGTGTCTTTTCCTTTGGAGCCAGGTCCTAAGACATTATAGACAAGTGACGTTACTTGTTCTGATCAGTTACCTGTCACCATAGACCGGGGACTACAGGGTGCTTTGCCAACAGTAATGCTTCAACCTCACCTCCAAAAAAGTCAGTCTGATGTGAAAAACATTTTATTTATGATTTCTCATATTTATAGTTTATGTCTTCATTACAATCATTCTTACAATAAATACAGAAGTGCTAAACAGACCATCATCATAGTGGCCTATGATCCATCCGAGGCACAGGGACAGAGGGGTGCTGCAGACCCTGGTGCTTCCCAGTGGTGCTCAGGAGGCCTTCAGAGAGTTTAGTGAAGGGGAGAAGAACTTAAGGTCTGAACTTGAAATGGGATTAATAATCAATGCAGCAAAATCCTAGAATGTCTATTAAGGAAACAGGTGTAAGTTGTTTTTTTTTTTTTTTAAGATTTTATTTATTTATTCATGAGAGACAGAGAGAGAGGCAGAGGCAGAGGGAGAAGCAGGCTCCCAAGGAGCAGGGAGCCCAATGCGGGACTCGATCCCAGGACGCTGGGATCATGACCTGAGCCGAAGGCAGACGCTTAACCATCTGAGCCACCCAGGCGCCCCAGGTGTAAGTTTTTACTATTTTGACCAGATGATCCTAAAGAAACAGAACAAAGAGACTCAAACTCTCCCATTAGTAAGAAACAAAGAAGCCAGGGCCTTCCCTGTCCTTTTCCCACATGGGCCTTGTTTTTGTGATCCCTACCCATAGTGCACCCAGCCCAGCACCTGGGCCTTCAAGGGGGTGCGAGTGAGGCAGAGGAACTTCACACGCCACAGTGCTGGTTTCCTTCAGTGGCGACTGGTGTTGGCGGAATGAGTGAGAACCTGAGGAGAGCCTTCCCAGTTTCCAAGCTTGGTCCCCAGGATCCCCATAATGATTAGCAAGGAAGTTGACAGTGTTGATTCTTGGAGCTTTCTGCCTGCCTCCCTAGCTTTGCTTTATCTCAGCCACAGGGCAGGAGAAAATGCCACTGTTTTCATGGCCTAGTCAGTCTCCCTTTTTATGAACAGCCGTTGTGCCAGGTACAATGGTCTCTTTGTTTTCTTGCAAAATTTGTCCATAAAAGGTAGAGAGAGAGTCCCAGGACTCTGGAGTGATTTATGTTGCTTTCTGATTGGCAACTTTGGGCCAAGGCCAAGGAAGCATCACCTAATTCACAATGCTATGTCATGAGGCTTGTCCCTGCTGTCATTCGATCAGCATCAGGCATGCTAATGGCAAGGTGAGGATGCCGCCCCAGGCTCCAAGGCTGTCAGAGATCCTGTGCACACACACGTCCGAGTGTTCATTAGGTCTTCTGCACCTCTGTTTAGCAAACTAGCTACAAAGCCATGGGGCTCGCCACCACTACACAAAGTCATGATGGTAGAGAAGGGAGAAGACTGTTCTCAGAGTGAGAGGGAGGAGTAGAAGGAAAAGATGTTATAAAGAAACCTGTGCTTTGATAGGACATTCCATGTTGTCAAAATGAGACCAGGAATCGAAAGTTCTCTGTGAACTGCAAGGTGCCGGCCATGAGAGGTTGGTGGTGGAGGCTCCTTCCCAGTCATGGAACTAACTGGTCTCCAAGGGACTCTTATATCTATGGAAGAGTTAAGTCTTCTCAGAAACTATGGCTTGGGTAGAAGATCATGAAGCATCTTTGTAACATTCCATTATTATTGGTCCCTAAATACCATGATGCCCCCACCCTGCACAGATAACTTCCTGCTTTCATAGCTTGAAAATAGATTTTAACCAAGCCATGACTCAACATCCTCAAAGTCAGGGAAGTAGGTACATCCCAATTCTAGATTGGCAGTAGGGACACCACAGAAGTGGCCAAAATGAAATCTGGGCAAGAGACAAAGCTCTTCAGTCATTTTGCTTCTGCCTATTTTCTCTAGATTCAAAAGCAGTTTGGGTCATTTCAGAACTCGTGTCTACTCTAGGAGAGAGAATGTAACAACACTTTTCAAGGAATAGCCTAATTATTTATAAAGTCTGTGAGGTACAAAGCATAACTGTGCCGCTGACAGGAGGTTGGGCTTGGGCTTAATATTCTGTCCTTCTCACACTTAGACTTGACGACTTCTGACTCCAGTTCTGACTCCAGCGTGAGTTCCTCCAGACCTTATGCGTCTTCTCATTCTGTCTCTCTCGGGCCCATTCAGTGCATTTGATCCAAAGGACAGGACTTCAGAAATGCCGCTACTATGTTTCAAAGAATATCTTTTGTTTTCTTTTTGTCTCTGACACCTTGACCCTTCCTAGATCATTCTTCCTCCCAGGTGTAAGGTCAGACCAAAAGTTTTGTCACTGCAGAAGGAAATCAGAGGAAACCACACTCAAGTGAATCCCTGGATGAAAGTGTTTTCTGACCAATCACAGCCCCCAATGGGTGACTTGGTCTGTGGCCCCAGAATCCAGACAACCTCATGGGCTCACACAGCTGAAGCAGACAGCTCAGAGTTCCTGCCTCTTTGGCGAGCTCTTGCCGTGCACAGATCGTACGGGCAGTGGCCGTGGCATCAGGATGGCAGGGCACCCACCTAAAAGCCCCCCGTGGGTCTGGGGCATTTGTGGGTTGAGCTTCAGAGAACCCTCAGGTATTTCAAATGTCTAGGGAGCCACAGTGTGTAGTGCCCAAAGCAAAGTCCTTCCTTGGATGTGCCTGGGAGTTCTGGGGCCTCAGGCATGGGCCTCAGTCTCCTTCTTGATGGCCGGTTTGTAAATGACTCCTTTGTTGTCACCTTTTTTGCTACTGGAACAAGAAGAACACACAAGTCTCAGTTAAAGGGAAGAGACAAGCAGAGAACAGCCTGACTCAGCTACGGAATGAGACGAATTTTAGGGGTCAGATTCCTCTCGTGGGGACCTTTCCCCTGTTCTGATGGTCTTGGGAGGAATGCCCCCAAAATAAAGCATTAACCAAAAAGGAACCGGGTCATTTTCCAGTTGTTCTCTTAAAACAGCTGACAATACTAGACCGGCATTTTGAAGAAGGTCTCATTACCACCCCAACTTTAAAGCTTTGATTCCATAATAGGATTCCTGGAAATTTTTTTTTATACATTCTAGAAAAATAAATTGGTTCTAGAAAAACCAAACATGACAATAAAAACATGAGCAAAGGGCATTAGTAGCTAATGGAAGTGATACATCAAATTTCCCTTCATTTTTCTTTTTGAATTCAGAGACAAAAAAACAGATGTAAAGATGTTAGAAAGAAGACAGCCTTGCTGCTTATGTTTAGGCAAATGGGACCTCCCCATTCCCAAATCAAGAAATTTGTCTTAAGGTGTTAGCCATGGCAGCAGGCTGGTGGACACACCTCCACCTCTGAGCATAATGACCCAGTGTCTCATGCAAAGGAGGCTGGGGGCCATGGTGTTTGGGAAACAGCACTCCTAGGATAAGTGTTGGTACAGGTGCAGGGGGCTCTTCATTCTGCAGACTGCCTTCCCAAACAGGTCAATCCTCATGGACAAATAAGCTACCCGAATGCCATTTTGAACCAAAACCAGCTCACCTCTTCTTTCTTCTGAAGAGCCAAATGGACACTGCCAGGACAACACAGATGCCAAGAACGCCAGCCAGGACCACTGAAAGGATAATGCCTGGGGAAGAGGCAGTGAACATGCATTACACTCCCCCTTCCCTTGCGTCCGTCTCATCCCATGGCACTTGGATGCGAAGTCAAGTGACAGCTGTGTAATCTGCCACAGAAGGATGTAATTTCCCCATTTCTGTTCTCAGGTTCTGGTCTTTGGCTTAGCAGAACTGGCTGGAGTACTTAGAGCCATTTTCAAACTGTAGTCATTCTCCAGCAAGGGTTCGCAAACTTGCACCAGGATCATCTGAAGAGCTGGTTTAAAATGTAGACTTTTTTGAGCCCGAGCACCACGGATTCATTCAGTCTAGAGCGGGGCCCAGGAATCTGCATTTTAACCAAACAGCTCTAGCTGATGCTGATGTACATGGTTCATGAACCATACTTGGAGAAACCCTGGGCTACAGAATAAGAACTTACTCTGTCTTGGCTTGCTGGAGTTAAGGCCCACTGGGAAGCCTCTATCGGCTTTGCTCCCAAGCTCTATTGCACAGTCCTAAGTAGTCTAAAACAATGAGGGGCCCACTGCCGAGATCACCTAGCCCGTCACCCAACCTCCACACTGGGCTTGGGCCTGTTCTTAGGCAACAGCCTCCCAGCATGGCCAACAGAGGTCTTGGTTAGGCTCATTGAATGTACACATGCTGTAGAGTGATTAGGTCTTTCATTATGGAAGCATTTGATTGGCAGTTCATCTTTGAATCATAGAGTGATTTGAAGGTAGGACCCACAGCAAGGAGAGGGCCAGAAGCCAGAGTGACAGCACAGAGAAGCAGGGAGGATGGGCTTGGAAGTATCACAGGCCCAGAGCATACCAAGAATCACAGCAATCACCCAGCTGCAGCATGCAAGGCCGGCAGGCCACATACCCAGACTCAGTCCTGTGTACGTAAGGTCTTGCACTTCAAAGGGGAGAGGAAAAGATTGAAAATTAACCAAGTCAAACCATGGTGGATTTTCCCAGTGTGTTGAGCGAAGCCCCACCTTTTGTCCGGTTGGAAGTACAGGGCTTATGCAGATTTTCTGGGTGCCCCATGGTATAGAGGGAATTGTGCACCTTGGGAATTCACACTGTGATCTCCCTCTCCAGTTCTCCTTTATCACAGCAGTCTCTTTGCTAGGGCCAGACTTCAGTTTTTAGTACAACATGACTAAAGTGGAAGATGAGGAAGGGTAAGGATCAGAGTCTACTTGGGCAGGCTATTATGTGCTTCTCGGATCCCTACCCCTCTTCATCAGTAAGGAATCGGCCAGGTTCTGGCTGGCTGGGGCTGGCAGGACTTAGTTGGAGCCTGTCGCTAGACTTCTGCCCTGTCCCCATCCGGTCTTGTTGTCATGATTTGGTTCTGTTTTTGCTTTGGCCCCACTGGGCAAACTGGAGAAACCCCTCCTCCATACCCCCCTCCCTTCTCTGCTTTGTAGAACCCTGAGATTGTGGCTTCTCTCAGAGCATTATTATTGGGATGAGTTAGGAGTCCTCAGTGGGGCTGAAATAGTGCCCAGCTATCTGAGGTAAAATCCCATAGTCAGCCTCCTAGGCACCTCCCTGGTGGGTCGTGGGTGAGCCCATCTTCTTGAGTAACACAGAGGAACCCAGTCATGAAGCCCCCCTGGGTTACCCCAGCATGCTTCTTCCAGGTTCTTAAAACTACTCCCCATTCTCCCAGTCAGGTCCTCTATCTAAAGAAAGGCTCTGTTACAGATCCCCTCTTGTCTGGTGGTTTTCTTTCTTTTTTTTTTTTTTTGATTTGGGTCTTTTTTTTTTTTTATTCTTATGTTAATCCCCTACATATCATCATTAGTTTTAGATGTAGTGTTCCATGATTCATTGTTTGTGCATAACACCCAGTGCTCCATGCAGAATGTGCCCTCCTCAATACCCACCACCAGGCTAACCCATCCTCCCACCCCCCGTCTGGTGGTTTTCTGACCTCAGTAGAAACTTCTAACGTATGTGCATATGTAGTATGAGTGCTTATTCCAGTTCGTGCTGGAAGCCAGAGCTGTGCAGACAGTGGCCACCCAGCCTGATCCTCCGGAGAGCCTGTGCCCACAGAGTCCACTGTGATGACTCAGACCCTGGGAGAGCCCTGATCAGTTGTGAGACGCCAGCAGACAACCAGGGACTCACACCTGGGGGCATGTAACACCCTGGAGAACCAGACCAGAGACTGCAGGATGAGGTTTTGCTCACCCCCTTTTTCGGCTGTGTGGCCAGTTGATCCCCCTGGAGCCCTCAGCCCTGTGTCCTTTCCCTACTATCCTCTTCCACAATCTCATATGGAACGTGCAGCCTCCCTCATCCGAGGCTGGCCCCTAGGAGTCTCTGGTCTGGTTTCCGCAGGTGGCCCCAGGCTGTTGTAAGGATAAGCAGAGCAGCTGTGGAGAGGAGCTGTCCACAAAGTACAGGGTGGCCTGTTCTCTTGGCTCTTGCTGGCCACCATCAGCAGCCCCTGGCCTCCCAAGTGGCAGAGTGGCTCCCATGGCCTGATTCCCTGCCCCAGGTCTCTTCTTGTAACCTGAACACAAGGACAAGCGTGTGGCTTAGGGAGACACTCGGGATAGGAGTCTCCCCTGGGGAGAGCATCTGGTGTTTGTATAGCATATGCTGCGTTCTCTGCATAGCCCGTGGCCTCTGCACACTGTATTTTGGTATTTGGGTTCTTTTTTTTTTTTTTTAAGGTATCCAAACGCAACCAAGGCTTCTAAGATCTTAAAAACAACAACCAAAACCCCGCAACTAGTTGTGGTTTCTTTTCCAAGCCTTTTGATGAAATACACTTCTGTTCTTTGTTCCTAAAGCTCCAGATGCTGGTGGTACCAGCTAGTTTTCGCCACATAGGACCACTGGTAAGCCTAACCCCTTGGCTAAGCCATCCAAACTGGACAGTTTCTAAGTCGTCGCTTTCACAGTCACCTCAAACATCTGGAGAGCCACCCAGGCCCCCAGACAGCTGAGCAGCCCCACTTCAGGCTGGAGGAAGCGCCCCCAGGGAGCTCAGGGAGCAGAGCCAAGTCTCCAGAAGCAAGGCCCCCAGGGATGGGACTTTTCCCAAGAACCCATGGCCCAGGTTGGTGGCTCATCTGGAGGGAAATCTGCTGCCCTTGGCTGAATTAGGCCCTATAAACAGCCTAATTTAATCCAGGGCTCTAAGCAGGGTTCCTGGCTCCTAGATGACTACTTGTGAGGGCCTAAGTTGCCTCTCTGTGGAAATAATGAAATGAGCAAGCAGTCACAAAGACAAGGAAAGCCCCAGAGCTTGGGACAGATGCTTTTCAGCCAAGACTTTGATACAGCAAAGACAAAGCAGCTTGATTGAGCAAGTGAAGAACATGAGCCACTATGGAAGATGAGTGGCAATGAGGGTGTCACCTCATCAGAATTCTGTCCCTAAAGAAGCCCAGGGCAGGACGATATCGGGATGCCGCCCCTTGCGAGCTGAGACGGCACCAGCCATCAAGGAAGCAGGACTTCTCTGTAGAGAGCGATGCAGTCCACAGGGCTTGGGTCCCATTCTGCTAACTAACAGGAGAGGGAAAGGCAGGGAGACTTCGGGGGGCACAGGAATAGGCATTGGGGCAGCTGAAGCAGTAGCGCCCAGAGAGAGAAGCCGAAGCCTGCATCACAGCAGAGCCTCTGGAGTGTTGTAGAGAATAGGCAACACGGATGATGGAGGGCGGGACACAGCCAGGGACGTTCATTTGCAGATTAAACAAAGAAATGGTTTGTTACTAATCAGCAAATAAGACAGGCAGTTCCCACTGAAGAACCCTGAGACAGGAGCGACAGAGAGAGGCTGACTGACAGCGATGGCACACAAGAGCCAAGTATGAAAACACAGTGAAGGGGCTTGTGAGCTGGTTGGTAAGAGGGTGCATGCCCCACCGACGTGGGAGAGCTACCTGCTCTCCATAAAGTGTTCCTGTACGGGCCAGGGTGAGCAAAGACAGGGCAGTGTGACACAGAGAGGGAAATCACACAGATACAGAAGAACCTAACAGATCCCCGGAGAAGACAGGCAAGCCGCTTGCCACAGGGGCCTTGCTACCTGTTCTCGCTAGCTCAGGAGCTGCATCTTCACTGCTGTCTTGGTGGACCCAGGGATGCCCGTTAACTGCTTCTGAGGTCTTCTGAAGCCTCACGTGCACACACACAACAGCCCAGCGGAAGGAACAAGCACCGCATTTACACAGCTCGCAGCTCCTGGAACAATTCTAGCATTTTTTTAGGTCTGTTTGCAATTCTACTTATTCAAACAGAAAATAATCCTTTTCCTTTCAAAATATTATTTTCAAGTATGGACTGTTTGGGTAAGCGACATCTTACATAGTTACATATATGGACGTACATATGTATACATCTTATGTATATGTTTATGCCTTTAGCAGTCTCCAGTCTTATAAAAGAGACAAGAGGAGTTTTGGTTTAGCAGCGATTTGATAGTTTAAATACATAAAATCCCCTTTTGGATGATAAAAGCTCTTACTATTCTGCTTTATACAAATCATAGGCTGAAGTAACTAAGATGCTAGCCCCGTCTTTGACAAGGCTTTGGTAAGAAAAGCAAGGAAGCTGCCCTCAGTGACCACAGAACAGAACTATCTTTGGAGAACATACTTAACTGGGGAGCTTTTCTTATTGGCACTAGGGAATCCCAAAAAGAAATAATTTCTACAAATCTGCCAAAGAGATACCACCAGATTACACAAGGGAGCTGGTTTGCGACAACCATGATAGGGACTGAGGGCTTTGCCTTCCAGATTGCAGGATTGCAGGCCCAGGACAGAAAGCCGCGTTGCTCTGAGGGGCCCAAATTCTGGAGCAGTAGGTGTGGGTTACTGAGCTTAGTACTAAGGCTTAGTACTCTCAGCTCCCTTCCGTGGCCAGGCTCAGGCTGTCTGCGCTGAAGGAACGGTAGGTGGTGGGACTGGGGCCTTTAATTCCTTTCAGGCCAGAGCAACAGAAAAAGCCTGACAACTTCCCAGGGCAACTCCCTCCTGGGACTTCAAAAATTGACAGCCTTGACAGATCTTTAATGTTTCTTAGACAAATGGATTGATTTGAATGCTGCTGGCAAGTGGAAAACAAAGCAAAATAAAACTTGAAACTAGAATGTGACAACTAGCCAGGCTTATGTTCAAATCATTCTGCAGAGAAGACCCTAGGGAGGGGAGGGGCAGGGAGACGGGTGGGTTACATTCTTTCAAACTGCAGTGAGCACCAGGCACAATGCGTGCCACAAGAGAAAGATCCCAATCGTCCCTGTCCTTAGGGGGCTGGTAGCACGTGTGGATAATCTAGACACGCTTATTCTCTTCTTCTGTATGGCAGTAAGTCATTACCCTGTGGTATGCTAAGAACTGTCACAGAGATGAACGAGTTGTTCCAGCTGCGTTGAAGGAAATTCTAAGTCACCTTCAGGGGAACAGGGAAGATTTCTGGAATGATATGATTACAGCTGGGTCTTGAAAGAATTTTCCAGGTGGGAGAGGTGAGGGGCATCCCAGGCGCAGGGAATCGTGTGTGCATGGATGAAAGCAGTACCATGCTAAGGGAGGCCCTACATGGTGTGGATGAGTGCCGGGGTCCGGGGGGGTGGTGCAGAGTGCTGGGAAGACAGATGGGGCCACCTCACCAAGGGGGAGGTCCAGCTTGCTGACTTCCCCCCTGGTCTGCTGTGTGCCAGAGGCTTGCTCTTAGGAGCCAGAGAACATCCACACTGGGGTTTTCTGTTCCCCATAGTGCCTGAGTTGGGGTGTGCTCTGGAAACACGTGGCCCATTACATTGCACTAGATGAAGGGACTAGGGACTTCTTAGCACATTTGATGATTGCTCCTGACTATTCAGCCCCTACCCCCACCCCTGTATCCAGGGGAATTTGAAGGTGGGAACTCCTCTGG